CATTCCCGGTCCCACCAATCGAGCAGCGGACGCCCTTTCACGACGGCCCGATCTTTGTGCCCTTGTGACCACGACGTTCGACCTCGACGACGATCTGCAGCAGCATTTCGTCAACGGCTATAAATCCGATCCGACATACTCTACGCTTTATGCGGACCTATCATCGGATCACCGCCGGCTGGTCATTATCGTATCTCCGACGGGTTCTACTTCTCCACACGAGAGGGAAGGACTTGTTAGTGGTGCCGCAAGATCGCATCTTGCGGACTCGTCTTCTCGACGAATTCCACGATGCACGACTTTCGGCACATCTTGGCGTGAACCGCACATTGGCTCGCCTCCGCCAGCGTTTTCACTGGCCCAACGTTCTCCACGACATCACGAGGTGTATTGAGTCATGCGCAGTTTGCCATCGTAACAAAGGTCGATCTACGGTCCCTTATGGCGAACTGAAACCGATGTCGATTCCTCGGGCACCACGCCTCTCCATTGCTATGGATGTTACAGGCCCGTTTCCCCGCGATGGCCTCGGTCATGACGGCATTCTCACGGTCGTTGACCGTTTGAGCAAGTACCCTCGTTTTCTTCCATGCAAGTATTGCACTACAACTCCCGAGCTTGCTCGACTCTTGCACACCGGCTGGATTACCGCCCATGGTGTTCCGGAAAATATTGAGCGACAAAGACACTCGCTTCATGTCTGCATTTTGGACTTCCCTCATGACGGAGTCCGGTTCGACTATGAAGCCGAGTTCCACACGGCACCCGCAGACGGATGGACAGTCGGAACGAGCGCATCAAACCGCTCAAATGATGTTACGTACACTCATCCGTCCCGACCAAAAAGATTGGGTTGACCGGCTTTCCGACATCGAGTTCGCCTATAACACTTCGGTGCACCCGGCGATCTGCATCACTCCATTCGAGTTGCATCACGGTGGAGAGAGAGCCCGAGTCTTTGCCGATCTTCTTCTACCACGGGCCGCCGACATAGACGCCGCTTGCTCTCCCGCTTCCGTTCGGAAGTATCGGGACTTGCTGATCAAAGCCCGCGCAAACATGCAAAAGGCTCAAATCCGCATGCAGCAGCAAGCCAACCGACGTCGACTCCCATGTCCTTTCCGCGAGGGAGACCTTGTTTGGATCCTCGCTAAGGAATTCGCGCTCGAGCAGGACGTCTCGCGCAAACTCCTCCCGAAATGGTTTGGACCATGGATGATAACTTATGCAGCAGGCGACGACCCTGCAGGTCCTTCCTTTGTGGTTGCCATTCCACCGCACCTCCGTGTGCATCCGGTCTTTCATGCGTCGAAGCTGGCCATCTACACGCCACCATCCGCAGACGAGTTCCCGGGCAGACGATCACAGGATCCGCCCTCTATGGACGGCCATCAGGAAGTTGACCGTGTCATCAGGCACTGCAAGTTTGGCAACAAGCCAATGCAGTACCAAGTCACTTTCAAGCAATGTGACCCCAATGACACTCGTTGGATCTCCCGTGCAGACTTACAAGCATCTGCACCTCTCATCTTCTCCGACTACGAGACTCGAAGACTTGCCAAGGACAAAGCTCGTCCCACCCGACCCAACCTGGTATCGGACATACAACTTCGCCCTCGCAGGTAGCTCGGTCCTTTAAGGGGGGGAGTGTGTTACATCTTCGACGCCACACGGGTCCTACCGGACACAACATAGGGCCAAGGGGACACAGTAGGGCCTAAAGGCCCGAACTTGGGGTACAGCAGGCCGTAAAGGCCACATTTTGGACCAGACCTGACGGGCAGGCCCAAACGACATTACCGTTTTGGCCTGGCGGCGCTCTTGAGGCTGCCGCCCGCCGGTCTGATCTGAACCATCGATCTTGACAGTTCAGGTCACGGCCAGG